CTGTGGGGCAGTGATGCCCGATGTGGGTGGGCAAAGACAAAGGCTTTTTACAAGTCAGAGCTGATGACCGTGCAGAGAGTGACCTCAAGGTCTATGTAGACCAGGCTGGCCTCTAATTCAGATCTGCCTGCACTCCCACCACAACTGGCAACTTTTTATGTGTTTGTTTATTGAGATAGAGTCTCATTAATGTAGCCCTGGTCGGCACAGAATTTGTTATGTAAAGCAGGCCGGCCTCAAAATCACAGATTCGTCTGCCAGCCTCTGCTTCCTGAGTGCTGGGATTAAAGACACATCACCATGTTCAGCCTTATTTGGTTAATTATTTTTATTGATACAACATTTTGCTATGTAGCCCAGGCTGGCCTCCCAACTCATTATCCTCCTACCTTAGATTCTCAGGTGCTTGGGATACACCACTTGCCCAATGCTATTAAGCCCTTTCTGAAGGGCTATAAACAGACCCAACCTCCTATAACATCCCTGCTGCCCATCCCCAATGGATGCTCTGGCCATTTTCAAATGGGCTGCTTTGGGGAAAAAGGCACCTGCCCAGGCTGTCCTCTGTGGCCATCTGTAGACTGACACTCCCCTATGCCATGCCTCTTCCAGACCATGTGACCAGAGAACTGCTGGACCGGATCCTGGCTATAATCCAAGGCTCCCACCAAAAGGCACTGGTGATGTAAGTAGATCCCAGATTCCCTCTGCCCTGCTAAGTGCAGCTGATTAAAGGGGAGGAACCTGGGTCCACTGAGGCACAGGACTGGGAATGGAGTCATCTAGTTGCTGAGAGCTTGCCTGAGAGCCCTCCAACAGGCTGCCTGGGACTCCTGACTCGCCCGGGCATCATCCCCATGGCTGCCAGGACAGTCTAGCCAGCTGCCTGTAGATGGGACAGGAAAGCCCCTGTCTTACAGACCTGTCCCCGAGCATCATGGAACACGATAGGGACAGCCTGCTGAGATGACAGGAACTGGCTCAGGGAACATGCTCAGAGGATAAGCTGGAGTCAGGCCCTGTGCCATGGACCTGTAGCAGGAGTGCCGGGCCTGAAATGGCCAGTGTACTCAAGCCGAGAGTCGGCCTTGGGGTGGGAAGGGCTGGGGCAGGAGCAAAGGGACGCAGGATGAGGTTGGCCCAGGCAGTGGGGACTCTGGACAGTTCTGAAACAGCACTGTGGTGTCACTGGGGACCCTGTGAGGAAGGCCAGGCAGGCTGTGAGGACATTGTCTTGTGCCCACTGAACTAGGCCTTAAGATAGCAAGGGCTAGCAGGGCTAGAGGAGAGTGAGCCGTCAGAGAGACCAGGAGGACACTCGAGGCCCTGGATCTGGGGCATTTGTGGAGAGAGCCCTGCAACAGGGGTGGTATTGTGGCCCCTTGGGGCTGCACTCCTCAGGTAAGGTGGCTGCGGGTGGAGCCCAGTACGCACAGTACACAGGGAGGGGTCAGGATTGCCCAGCCTGTGATAGGTGAAGCCAGGGATTGGCAGAGGATGCCCCTGGTGACCGAAAGGGAGGCTGCTCTGAAGAGCCTGGGTAGAAGACGGGCTGGGGTGGGTGATGGGTGAGGAATGTAGAGAACAAGGAAGAACCCTTCCGTGGTGGGGCGGGTCCCCCACCCTGGCCTCCCATTCTGGCCCTCCTGTCTCCCAGGTACTCCAACCTGGATCTGAAGTCCCAGGAGGCCTACGAGATGGCTGTGCAGGGTGTGATCCGGCCCATGAACAAGTCCCCAATGCTCATCTCTGGCATCCGCTGCCTGCACTTTGCACCTCCCGAGTTCCTTTTAGGTAAGTCACTCCGGAAGCTGGAGATGAGATGGAGCCTGGGTTTGGAGTCATGTGTGACATGCCAAAGCCAGCATACACTGCCCTGATTGGCTAGCCATGGGTGGCTTCCGTCCACCAGGTCCAAGTTCAGCCTAACCCAGAGTAACAGCACAAAGGCTGCCCTCTGCCTCCTTTCTCTTCCCAAGCCTGTGAAGCCAACCCTTAAGAAACAAAGACTGGGCTGGGCGGTGGTGGCGCACACCTTTAATTCCAGCTCTGGGAGGCAGAGGCAGGCTGATCTCTGAGTTTGAGGCCAGCCTGGGCTACAGAGCAAGTTCCAGAGCTACACAGAGAAACTGTATCTCAAACCTCCCACCCCCCAAACAAAACAAAACATGAAGCAGAGACTGGATCTAGCAGCTCATTTCCAGAGCTGTCCACATTGTTAAGTGTCCCTCGGATGGGACTGTCACTTTCTGGGTCTCGCCAGCCTCTTCCATATTCCATTGGCTTCTTCCTTGAGCGCTCCCCAAAGCCCCCAGTGGTAAGCCCCCATGAAAGTGCCGCCTTTGTGCCCCGGTCCCGGCTCATGAAGAGACCAAGTGTGAGCAGAGCTGCTGGAAGCCCAGCTTGCTCATGGCTTCGCCCTCAGCCGAGGGATCCAGAGCTGGGATCCCCAGGACTGCCTGCGTGCTGCAGGTCCTCCCCCAGAGCTGAAGAATGTTCCTGTGGAGAGGAGGCCAAGGGCTGACATTCGTGTCTCTTCATGTCTGTGCTCCACAGAGGTGCAGTGTATGCATGAGACGCAGCAGCAGCTGAGGAAGCTGGTGCATGAAATCGGCCTGGAGCTGAGGACCACCGCTGTGTGCGTGCAAGTGCGGCGCACCCGGGATGGCTTCTTCAGGCTGGATGATGCCCTCCTGAGGACGCAGTGGGACCTACACAGCATCCAGGACGCCATCCAGGCTGCGGCCCCCCGGGTGACAGCAGAGCTGAAAAAGAACTTGAGACTAAGGTGGGGCCACCAGCAGCTCCCCAGTGCTGGGCAGCCTTGCGGCTCCAAGGACCCAAGCTCCACTTTGGGGGTGGAAAGCTCTGTGGGGCAGTGATGCCCGATGTGGGTGGGCAAAGACAAAGGCTTTTTACAAGTCAGAGCTGATGGCCGTGCAGAGAGTGACCTCAAGGGCCTGAGCAGTGCCCACGCCTGCCATCCCAGCGAAACAGAAAAAGGGGAAAAGGGAGTCTTTCTACTTGAGACACAGACGAACTGCAGGGATGAGCTGTGTGTGGCGGCAGGGCCTATCATCTTAGCTATTCGGGAAGCTCAGGCTAGAATCTTGACCGTTGAAGGCCAGCCTGGGGTTACACTGTGAAACCGTGTCTCAAAAGTCAAATCAGAGTCAGATGTGTAATTGAAGCACTCCAGAGGTAGAAACAGAAGATCAGGAGTTCAAGGTCATCCCAGCCACAGTGAGTTTAAGGCCAGTCTGGGCTGTTTCCAGTGTTTAGTTTTTCACCGAGATGGGGAATGTCACCCCAACACCTAACAACCAATGGTGATTTATTTGGATTCATATGACTGATTTAACTGAATGTATTTGTACCCTAGGGAAAAGTCTTTTCACTGTTTTAAGGTGGTGTCTCACACCTGTGATCTCAGTACTAAGCTGAGGCAGGAGGATGACTCTGAGTTTGAGGCCAGCCTAAACTTTCTAGAGTACTTTATAGTACATGTCAGAATTTAATCCTTTAACCAGTCATAGTGGTTACAGACCTGTAATCACCACATGGGTGGTGGAGGCAGGGGGATCAGGAATTCAAGGTCATCTTTGGCTATATGAGTTCTAGGGTACATGAAACCCTATCTCCAAAATAAAAAGCCCAAAATTACTTTAAAAAGGTGTATTTTTATGCGTGTGAGTGTTTGCATGTGTGTTGTGTGTATGCACCTCATGCATTATGAAGGCTAGAAAAGGGCGGAGCCCTGGACTTGCAAATAGTGTGAGCCACCACAGGGGCGCTGGGAATGGACCAGGGGTGCTGGGAATGGACCACTGGTCCTCTGGAAGAGCAGCCAGTGTTCTTAACCACTGACTCGTCTCTCCAGCTTCCTGAATTTAATCTAATCCCCTGCCTTATGTAACTAACCACTCTGGCTGTGAACAGTTAGAGACTGAAAATTGTTTGTGTCTACAGTGTAAAAAAAAAAATTCGGAAAAGCAGGGGCTGTGGCAGTCTCAGCATGGTGCTGATGGAAGGCTGCTGCGCAGAAGACACACACACAAAAGTATTTGTTGTTTTGGTTTTGAGACAGGGTTTCTGTGTAGTTTTGATGCCTGTCCTGGCTCTTGCTCTGTAGACCAGGCTGGCCTCGAACTCACGGAGATCCACCTGGCTCTGCTTCCCAAGGGCTGGGATTAAAGGCGTGCACCACCACCGCCCGGCTACAAGTCATCTATTTTTTATGAGCCCCTGAGACCCATTAGTGTGGGACACATGCATGGGTATGGGGCCATCCACAGTCTACTGTGAGCTATCCTGAAGAAAAACGGTTCTCCCTCCATAGCCATCTCTCCAGAGCCTATCAGTCACCTATGGGGGCTCAAGATGGTGGGTCCCATTAACCCCTTCCATCCTTGCTGAGTGTTGACTGGCTTGATCTTATTGTGCAGGCAACCAAAGCTGCCGTGAGACTGTGTCATGCCCAGAAGACGTTTTCACAGTCGTGTGCCCAGTCTCTGGCTTCTGTCATGTTGCTGCTCTCTCTTGTGTGACATGCCAAGCCCTGAAGGAGATGGTGTGATATAGATGTCCCATCTAAGGCCATCCCTCCACAGTCACACTCTGCACTTTGAACGTCCATGAATCTCTGTTAATTGCTGTCCCTGAATGGAGAGTGATTAGTTCCTGATAAGGTCCGAGAGCTACCCTGGTCTATTTGTGTAAAGTTAGATATTTAGAGGGCGGTTGAACAAGACAGTAGTAGTAGCTTCTCTCCTAGGACCTAGGACCTCTTCAGCCGTGGATTCTTGGTCAGATTTACAGTGCCAGGCATGAGCCCCTGCTATGGAGTGGGCTTCCTGTCTGAACAGGAAATGGCTGGTTGCCTCCATCATATGGATACCACTGTTGCACTAATAGATATGTATCTTGCCAAGATGGTCTCTCTTTTTCTAATTTATTCATTTTATGTGTGTGGGTATTTTATCTGCTTGTATGTCTGTGCACTGTGTGGACCAGAAGAGGGTGTCACATGGAGATTGTAGTTACAGATGGTTGTGAGCCACCATGTGGTTGCTGGGATTTGAACTCAGGTCCTCTGGAAGAACAGCTGGTGCTGCTCTTAACCTCTGGGCCATCTCTCCAGCCAACCAAGATGGTCTTTTATTGTGGCTGGAGGATTCACAGCTACACAAGACTGTTGGCCAGCTTTTCTCCCCCAGCGGCTTGCGTAGCACCGTCCAGCGCCGTGAAAGGAAGTTTCCAGGTCAGTTTCACCTTGATTTCTTCTGTCACCAGAGTGTGGTGTCTTCGGCAACAAGGTCTTACTGTCATGTTCTGGTGGGCAACCAAGAGCAACAGCATTGGCTTGTCCTGTTTGGGGGATCTTGGGACTATCATGACCAGTCATCCAAAGGGAGGGTCCCACACTTGACACTGGCATTTTACCTTAATAACCTATGACTTCTGGGGCAGCGCTTTAGCCCCTGTGCAGTGCACCTCCATGCAATATACACTTATATATATTTTAAATATATACATTTATATGTAAATTATATACATATATAATTTTTAATTGGTTGTTGTTTCTCTGTTGTCTTCTGAAGCAGGGTTTCTCTGTGAAACGTCTTTATTGGGGGTGGAGGGGGTGCATGTGTTTGGAGGCCAGAGGTCACATAACCTTGGCTATCCTAACTCGCTTTGTAGATTAGGCTAACCTTGAACTCACAGAGATCCACCTGCCTCTGCTTCCCAAGTGCTGGGATTAAAGGTGTGCGCCACCACACCTGGCTCAATTATATTTTTAGTAAGCTTAAAATGAGTTTTCCTGTGGCTTTTCAAATATCCTTAATGTTAGTAACCCCTCTCTCTCCCCATCACCTAGGGTTTTTTTTAAAAGCTTTTCTCACTAGGTTCATTTCTCTATGCTATAGAGGCTGTGGCCCCACATATAGATGCTTTTTGGCTTCCTTTGATAGTATTACCTTGTATTTGGAAAAATACCTTGTATTTGGAGAAAGCCTGTCATCCCAGCACTGAGAGGCAATAGCAGCGGGATCAGAAGTTCAAGGTTCTCTTCAGTGATACAGTGAGTTTGAACCAGCCAACAACAAAACAAGTCTTTATTGGGGGGGGGGGCGGTGCATGTGTTTGGTGGCCAGAGGTCACATTGTCTCTTTCTCAAATGTTCCCCACTTTGCTTTTGGAGACAGGAACTCTCACCATACCTGGAAATCAGCCAGACTGGATGGCCAGGAAGCCTCAGAGATCTCGCTGTCTCCATCTCTCTTGAGCTGGCATTACAATACACCTTTCCCAGCTTTTTCAAACCACGATACTGAGGATCTGAGCTAAGGGCTAAGGTCATCATGCAAACCATCATGGGCACTTTCACCAACTCTGTCTCCCTCTATTTTTTGAGTCAGGGTGTTACTCTGTAACCCGGACTGTAGATGTAACCAACCGTCTTATTAAATAAGAAACACAGAACCAATGCAAAGAAGAAAGCCAAGAGGTCAGAGCTAAGAGCTAAAACCTTACCCTTCCTCCTGCGGTGGTCCTACCTCTCTGAAAGAGAGCTACTTCCTGTGTTAAAGTCTTTATGTAGACTTTCTGTTCTGCCTTCTCATTGGTTGTAAACCCAACCACATGACTGCCTCATCACTGCCTGTCTGTATAGACCTCCAGGTCGTCTTTGGTTGGTATTGAGATTAAAGGTGTGTATATCCAATGCTGGCTGTATCCCTGAACACACAGAGACTTACCTAGCTCTGCCTACCAAGTGCTGGGATTAAAGGCATGCACCACCACCTCCTAGCTTTCCTATGGCTTGCTAATAGCTCTGACCTCCCCGGCAACTTTATTTATTAACATACAAATAACATTTTAGTACAAATAAAATATCACCATATTTCCCCTTTTCTATTTTAATAAAAAGAAAAAAGGAAAAAGCTTATAACTAACATAAGAAAAACTATATACAAAAGTACAATAACTATATATAATATAGACAAGTAATAAATACCTAAACAATGTCTAGTCCATTTGTATTTGACAAATTCAGAGAAAATAATTCCATTATCTATCCTATTTTGGTAAGTCCAAAATGTATGTAATTCACTTTCTATCCTAATTAATCTTCAGCTATAACTAACTAATCTTCAACTCCCTCAGAGACCCAAGAAGGAAATAATATTAGCTAACAAAAATAAAAACAGGAAGTATATGCAAGCAACTTCCAAAAAATTGTGAGTTGACAGAAACAGCTAGCTGCCTGGACAGTCAGCTGAGGTTTCTCCGCAGTGTTGGGGCATCATCTTTAGCCTACAGGCTTAGCGTATCTGACAGACTCATTTGTGAAGTAGGATGTACACAAGGTCAACAGTTCAACCTCACCTTGGGTGAGAGCAGTCCATGTACCAGAAACACCTGAATTCCACTAGTGTCATGTCATGATTCAGGATTTTAAATTCTGGAAATTGTTGATGTTTTTTGAATTCAGCTGTCCATTCTTCTTGGCTATGTGTGTATGTGGCTTCATCTCAGCATCCCATTCGTCTCCACATCCCTCTATTAAATGCCAGTCTACTATTGAGAGGTGTGAGCTTAGTTACTCTTCAAGAATAACTGTTTCAGCTGCTGTTCCATTGCACATTAGAAGCCATCGGCCCACTGCCCGTTCAGCTGCCTTCGAAGAAAAGGACACTGTACCTTTTCTGGATTGCGAAGGCCACTTCAAGGATGGGGCCATATTGTCCTGGCCTCAGAAGATGCCTTTTGATAAAGCCATAACCACACTTGTTTTGGCAAGAATCAGTAGTCCTTTGTTTCGTGTCCTGTCTGTCTTGTTTGTCAGCAGTTGATTCGAGGATACTTTGTTGTCCAGTGGCCAACTTTTGCCACAATGAAAGTTAACTCCAATTGTAGTTTTTTCAATGCCCATACTTTCTCTGAAGTAGATTGGTACTGCCAGGAACCGACATGTCTCATAGTCATAACAAAAAAGAAAAATTTTCTAAGTTATTAAAACATTTTAAATGCCATATTCTGTAGATCTCTGAAGGGTTTGAAGATGACCTGTCTATCTAAAAGGTATCTGCTCAATCTTGAAAACATACCTAATATGACTACAAGTTCTATTATAATGTCTAACTACTAACTTTTATTTCTTTATATCCTAATAGTTGGTAATAATAACATTCAAGGATCAGAAAATTGTATTACATTGTCAAATGAACGGTATAAATACAGTTAGAAATATACATAGAGCATTTTCTAACAATATCAATTTCAATATATATATATTTTGTATACAATATAAAACAATCCAATCCAATGTAAAGTATTTAAAACTAGTAATTGTCTTTTTCTTTTCTTTTTTTTAAAACAAGAACCTTAAATCTAATCTCCTTTGCTTAGCCTTTTTCCTAACCCTTGACAACAACTCATAACCAACCCCCCTAAACAATGAAAATTATCCCAGACCCAAAACCCATTAAAAGACCAAAAACAGCACCCACCCCACACCACCTCTTTGGGAATGTGGGCATTGTATTCTTAAAATTACTTCCTGCTGGATATGGGCGAAGGTATCTTTATCCTGAAAAGAAAAATTTTAGGTAAATTGTCAAATTCTAGGAAAGGTAACTATATCCTTCATTATCCAGTTTGTGTATAAT